CCAGGTGTTCTCCTCACTCCCCTCCCAGACTCAGCAGCAGCTCATGCTTCAGCCTCTTCTTGTGTGAGGAACTGAAAACTGACGGCTGAACATGTTCCATTCAGAGTTCCAGGCTTGGCCTGGATTTTAAGTGTTATTGGAGTTAAAAAAATAAAAAAAAAAAAACAGGAAAGCAAGACCAACACATGGCATGGAGGAAAGTAGCACTGGGAGTTTTTCTGGGAAAGAGGAGCAGCAGGGAGAACAGACATCCCCACACACAAATATTGCTTTCAGCTGTTCAGTAACGAGGGTTATATACCCCTGCAGGGCTACAGGTGTGACCAAAAGTGCAGAAAGAAATTGCTGATTTTTAAAGAGAAATCGACATATTCTTCTGAAAAACAAAACATTGAGGCTTTATAAATGGGAATATCATTAACTAGCCCCCAAAACACTCTGAGGACATTGAGCCAGAACGTGTCACGGCCCTGCTGGCTGGGAGTTCAATGTACCTGCTCTCTTCCAGAATTTGTTTTCTAAGGTTGTCTTAAAAGTCTAAAGAAAAATCTAAGAGGCTGCTATTACAAAAATGCCTTTTCAACATTCTGCTTCAGGATTTGGGCTGCCCAGATGCTCTCACAGACACGGTGCCACGTCCCTGCCATGGGCACAGAGCTGCACCTCTGCATCCCCCTGGGCACAGCTGGCAGCCCAGCAAAGCAGCAGGGTGACATTTCTGGTCCCTTTTCGCCCCCAAATCCCCATCTGAGGAGCCCTTAAACCGTGACTCCAGCACTGACCCACCTAACTTCCTTAAACGAGAGGATACGCAGCAAAGGAGGAAGAGAGAAGAAAGAAACCAGTGAAGTTTTACAGTTTAGAAAGCAGAATTAAAATAAAGCAACCCCTTTTGGTGGAACACTAGATACACATGCAGCCCTTTTGTATAATCTGTTGTTTGACAGCATTCTTAAACTAAGCAAGATCGCTAAAAGCAACACTAAAATTAAAGAGCAAATATATGGGACTGAAGTAGATTTCATGACAACACCAGGGAAGGAAAATTAAAGATGTTGGTCAGAATGACAGGGATTTGTTCAAGAGCACATGTACTGCTTTAAAGCTGGGAGAAGAAAAATTGATTTTCCAGACACTGCTATAAAACATGCCAAGAGCCCAGAGCAAAGCAAAGCAAACACCAGCTGCAACTGGATAATAAAACATCCCAAATTCTCCATGTATGCCCATCCTTTGTCTGCGGGGCTGGGAAATGAGGATTTTACACTCCTGGGGTCACCTCGACACCCAGACCCCGAGCTCAGCCTGCACCCACATTTCAGCTGGCACGATGGCAGTCTCAGCCCCATCACTACTCACAGGCGCCTGTAAAAGTCCCCAGAACACTTTCATCAGTACCTCTGACAGGAAAAGCACCTGGAGCACCAACCACCCCCAGCCCTGCTGCTTCTGGTGCCTGGGGGAGGTCAGGGAGGGGTTTGGGACAGCCCAGGTGAGCTGAGGTGATGTCCCAGGTGTGTGGTACCCAGCTGTGCCCCACACACCCTCCCACAGTGCAGGGCAATGCAGCTTCGCTGTTCTGCACCTGCTGCTGCTGGCAGGCTGTAAATAGGATAAAACAGAATTGGCTGAAAGACTTCTGGAAACACACTTAAAAGTCTGAACCACGTTTCTTTTCTTTTCGGTTTACATCCCTAAATAAACAAAGATTCACGGAATGTGCGTAATCTGCAGCAGTGCCTCCATCAGCCCTCTTCATTTGCATCTTTTCCCTTCACCTTCTGACGTACGTTTTTATCCAGAGGAAAAAAAAAAAAAAAATTCAATGTTACTTTCATTCTCCTTAAGCCCATTTTTGTACTTTTCCATGACAAATTATTCTTTTAATTTGGAGTCTGGGAAAGAGACTGAAAAGCTTATTTTCTAAAGGCTGAAACCTCATTGTCAAAGTAAAATGAAATCACCCAGTCCCACAAATCTAGAGTTTTTTGTAAGTATAAACATCTAAGGAAACAGTGGTGGAGCTGTTGTTCAGAGGCAGTGCAGCAGGCATTGATGGTAACGAGCCTGCCAGTGACAGAAGCAAGCAGAGATAATTTAGCACACATCTCTCTTTATTCTTGCTGTTTGAAAAGGCCTGGTCTCTATAGCAGCAAACTGTAAATATTGCCTTTGTTTCCTTTCCTTCTGTAGGTAAATTTACCTTTTCCTCTTTGGAAAGTCCCATCCCAGACTCTGCCTCTCATGTGGGCCAGATTCATATCTCACAAGAAGTTTAGACAGGGAAATATTGGATTAAGGAAAATTAGAGCAAACCAAAATGTGTTATTAGTATGGTTGTCTTTAACCAGAAAGTGTTACAGGCACAAGAAAACCAAAATCTGTGGGCCAGGAAGAGCAGAATCAGCCCCAGCTCTTCTGAACTTGGGCAGAAGGTGGTGCAGCATTCATCCCTGCAGGTGTGTTTGTGACTCCCCCGCCCTGGCCCTGGGCTGAAGGCAGCACAGTGCAGGGTTTGGGCCCTGTGATATTGTCCAGCACGGCTGGAGCTGCTCCTGCCCCAGAAATCCCTTGTCCAGAGCAGCTCTCGGGGTCAGGCTGATGGCTGGGACTGGCTCTGGAACCCCCAGAGGACCACAGATCCAAGGGATCCTGCCCCAGGAGCAGCAGCTGTGCCCAGGGGCAGCACTCAGTGCCTGGAGTGCTGCTGAGGATGTGGAATTGTGCTCTGCCCACCCTCTGCTGGGACAGAGGGACCAGGGACAGCCTGGAGCTGCTGGGACAGAGTCAGGGACAGAGAGTCAAGGACAGAGAGTCAAGGACAGCCCTGGCCATGGGTGGTGTTTCCCAACTCCTCCTCGCTCCATGGATCATCCCTCTGGCCTCCTGCCTCCTTTGCCATCCCTGGTTTGCATTTCAGCTTGATGGAAAACCTGTTCTGAGGCACGGCAGGGAGGAACTGCTTCGTTCTCGGGGTTTCATTTATATCTGCCAACCTTCAGGCTCAGGGTGCTCTGGGAAAGGGTTCAGAGAGGGACAAACAAACCTGCCCTGCTGGAAACTTCAGATGTGCCAGCATGTCTTCATTTCATATGTAAAAAATGGAAACAATGAGAAGATCCTGCTCGAGAGGAGAGCAGGTAACTCTGGGATGGATGTGAGGGGTCTGTTGAAATAAGCTTTATTTACTGGAAGGGATTTTCAGGAGGGATTAGGAGCTGGTTAAAAATAAACTGTGCTCAGGGCAGCACAAAATGAAGTGTGCAATAAACTGTGCTCAGGGCAGCACAAAATGAAGTGTGCAATAAACTGTGCCCAGGGCAGCACGCTGGGAAGCTGGGCTGGAGGAGAGCAGCGAGAGCTCAGCCACAGGAGCTCTCACAGCTCCAACAGAGCTGCCTCTGGAGCACCAGCAGGAGCCAGAACTGCCCAGGCAGCACTGCAAAAACTGGGAAGTTTTCCTGCCCAAAATAGCGAGAATTAACATCCGTGGTGGAATGCTGCAGGATTTTAGCACCTCTGGAGGGTTCAGCTCAAGGCATGGGAGAAACAGAGCAGGTGGGAATGGGCTGTGGGATGGATACTGGGAATGGAATCTGGGATGGACACTGGGAATGGCTCTGGGATGGATACTGGGAATGGGCTGGGATGGACACTGGGAATGGCTCTGGAATGGACACTGGGAATGGGCTGGGATGGACACTGGGCTGTGGGATGGACACTGGGAATGGGATGGGTACTGGGAATGGCTGGGATGGACACTGGGAATGGCTCTGGAATGGACACTGGGAATGGCTCTGGAATGGACACTGGGAATGGCTGAGGTGGAAACTGGGAATGGCTGGGATGGACACTGGGAATGGCTCTGGGATGGACAAGGAAGGAATTCTGCTCTTCCAGAGAGGGTTGGACAGGCTGCAACTCCCCAGGCAGACAAAACCATTGCGCCAGATCTTGAGGAACAACTGCGGCTCACAGCAGGACACGAAAGCATTTTCCAGGAATTAGAAAAGTTATCCATTGACTCAGGGCGAAGTCGCACTCTGAGTGCAGCAAATAATTACTCCTGCCCACAATGCAGCATCGGGGAAGATTTTAACAAGTCATTATGTGCTGGCTTTCAGAGGGAGCTAATTGGATGTCTCCAGGTCGGTGCCTAAGTACTTCCAGCTCGAGAGGAAAAGACCGACAGTAATCTCTGTAATTAAATGGAATTGGTGTGTGCTCAACCCCCTCCTGAGAGAGCCATCCCAACCCGGCCCAACCCAGCCCAACCCAGCTCAACCCAACCCAACCCAACCCAGCCCAGCCCAGCCCAGCCCAGCATACAGCTAAAAATTAATGAGTTCTGGCACTATTGGCACTCCCTATCTGAGACAAACACATTACAAGTTCATGTGTGTGGGAGTTTCACAAAGACAGAATTGGTCAGAAGGAAACTCCATCCAGGTCCCCTCAGCAAAGCCAAGGGGCACTGGCACCTGGGGGAGAGACTGGGAGAGACTGGGAGAGACTGGGAGAGACTGGGAGAGACTGGGAGCCACTGGGAGCCCCTGGGAAATTCCTGTTTGCTGTGCCCAGCCTCAGCTGGGGCACAGAGCTGGGAAATTCCTCTGCCAACAGCCCCAGGGACCTGCCTGGGATCTGGAGTGAGATTACCCTGAATTTTCCCCACCTCCGAGCTCTCCCTGGGCCCGTTCCACCAGCTGCTCTCCAGAGGATTCCCTTTCCAAAGGGAACCTCTCCAGCACTGAACATGTGCATTCTTTGCTGTTGAAAATGTTCTGCTTTGCAGACACAACAGACAGAGGGAAAATCAGCCCAGGCTGAGCAGCAATTTCCTCGGTGCCCAGGGGAACTCGGATTTCTCTGTCCCATCTCCCCTGTCCCATCCACTGCCTTATTTGCAGAAATACTGAGACAGAAATCATTTCCATTCTACTGCATCCCCCCAGCTTTTAGGAACAGCAATTACAGGAGTCATGCACGATGGCTTTTGCCTAATAAATTTTTTCCTTTATACTGTCACAATCATTTTAAAAGCTGCAACACAGTATCTATTTTCATATGAATCAAAAGTATTTTGACTAAGATAATTATTTCCCATCTACTGAATATATCGACAGTATTAAAAATTGACTGAGCTAGAAACAGAGACACAATGGAAGTTGATCTCCTCTTATGTATATTTCTGAACAGAAATAAATGACTGAAAATTGTCTGCCAGGTGACATTTGGCAGTCTGAGTGATCTATCATCAGGGAACAGTAGATTCAGTTTGGATTTAAGGACTCTCTTGCCCCTGAAGTGTTTCAGAGCACAGGTTCTGGTCAGGTTCTAACCTGAGGCAGATGAATAATGAAGAATTTAGGAGCATCATCCATTCTCACTCATAAAGCCGAAGAACAACACTGCTGCTTAAGCACATGCTTGGGAAGGCATTTCTCAGATGCTTGCAAAGCTCTTTCAGTTCAGGAATCTGAAAAAAAACATGATATGTTTTGGGAAGCCTGCCAGAGTCATTATAAATAATCCACTGGTCCTGATAATTTCAATACAGCAGTTCCCTGAAACTCATTTCAGCCCGAGAACCTCCCTCTCCAGTAAACATTTTCCACTGCTCTTGTTGATACACAATATAAATTAGTTGTTTAAACACTCTAGAATTTTTGCATTTTACCAAACATTTTGGAACAGAAGCATTTTTGAAGCTGGTTCCTGGTTAGGTGCCACAATTCCAGTCTCATTCCTTGGCTGCAAAGGAACCCAAAGGGACAAGAGTCCCCTGCAGACAGAAATTCTCCAGTTTAGCCTTTGCTGGGGGGCTGATCACACATTCAGAGCGGGCAGGAGTTGTGCTAACACACAAAATATGCATGCAGAGGTTCCTCTCCTCACTCATCCCAGGGATTTCCAGGCTGGATTGGAGCAGAGGCTGCCCAGCCAAGCTCCTGAGGTATCCCAGAGGAGGAAAAGCTGAAACCAAGCCCCAGGGAGGCTCTGTGAGCACATCCACACCTCTCTCCTTCCTCAAATTAAAGAGTTTTCCGCCCAATTGAACACCTGATTCCCTCTGGCTCCCAGCTGGTTTCCTGCTGGTTTCCCACTCCTTGGCAGAGCGGGAGCTGGTGCTGGTGCCACAGCAGCCTCTCCTGCTCACACACCCTGCAGAGCCCCCAGGTGCCAGCACACAGCAGCCAGGAGCATCCAGAGCATTCCCCGAGGATCTGCTCAGGGAATATGGGGGAGGCTGGCAGCACGAGGCACTGGAGTAAAATCTCAAGGGTTTGTAAATTAATTTTAGCCGCACCGGGCACCTTGCAAGCACAAACACAACGTCCCCAGAGCTGTGTTTGGAGGAGGGATGTGTTACTCCTCGCTCCTCCAGTGCCACTAGCACGACACAGACGTGCAGGAGCTCCTCAGGAGCTCTCCTGGATGATTTGCAGCAAGGACAAACAGAAGCAGAATGGGAGAAGAGCCTGGTGCTGCCTGTGCACAAACACAAAACTCCCAGCCAGCTGCACAGGGAATAAGGCTAAAGGAAAGCTGCTCTGCCAATACAAACACAAGGAGTTGTTAAATGATTCAAAGTGAGAGTGAGATATGTCAGTGTAGCCCCCTCTCTGCTGCAGACCTTCTGTGATCTAATCAGGAGATTGCAGGTGGGATCCTGCTGACCAGGAGTGAACATCAGTGCCAGAATTCTGTAAAATGCCCTTACAGTGAACTGAGCCCTGAGTCACCCACTGAGACAGACACAGTTTATTTATTCATGGTGGGCACCCACATTTCCTCCAAAGCACCTCAGCTGGCAATAAAGGGACCATAAGGGGGTGAAATTCATGTTTTCCTCAAGCAAGGGCAGGTGAGGAAACCTTTAGCATCCCTTGGCAAGAGGCACCAAACCCAAACACTCCTGTACCTGCTCCATGTGCTCCAGGGGAGCTGCACTGAGAGCTTTGAGAGCCACTTGGAACAGCAGCTCTGAGGCTTTTGGGCAATTCCTGGTGGCTGGCAGAGCCCTCCCTTCCCTGGGAGCACAGGAGGGGCTGCAGGGACAGGGACAGGCAGGGCTGGCAGGGCTCCTGGGCATGGATCGTGGTCTGTGGGCATGCAGGGCTCTGCTGAGGGCAGGGACAGGGACAGGAGGGGATGCAGGACGAGGGCAGCAGGAAATGTGCCTTGCTGAGTGCAGCCCCTGTGTGAATCCCTTTGGATCCAAGCATCTCTGAGGCCCAGCACAGGGGGAATTGCTGCTTGGGCTGGGCTCTTTGTAACACAGCTCAGGGACAGGTTGGGAAGCTCTCTCTGTAGGAAGGTGCTGCTCCAGAGGTGCAGCACTGAGAGTAATGGAGTTGTTCATGGGAGCAGACAAGAGAAGCAACAACAGAAATGCCTGCATCAGGCATAAATCAGCAGGGAAATGGAGCACCATGCAGTGACAGGAGCACTGGGTCCTCCTGCAGGAAACCTCCTCACCTTGAGGGGCCAGAGCCGCCCTCAGTGCAGGCTCCTTGATCTCAGGGCATGGCAGCAATATTGCAAACAGCAATTACCTCCCACCCAAAATCATTCAGGCTGGCACAATCCTCTTGGAAAAGCGTTTTTTGGCACTGGAAGCCACCAGGAGCCCCCAAAGCCATCTCTTCCCCAGGCTGCACAAGCCCAGCCCCAGTGTCCCAGCAGAGCAGGTATTCCAGGCACTGCCAGTCCTGGTGGGCCGTTTTGGACACACTCAGCCTGGGGATGTTTTCCTGCCCCGAGTGCCCAAAATGAATGCAGTTCTTCAGAAGAAAGGAATTGAGCCTCCTGCTTTGTTTGGGAGGTGAGAGGTGCTGTGAAGTTGAAATTCCTTGTTTGGCTGGCAGCACTGCTCCTGAGTGCAGGATGATGCTGGAATTATCTCAAAAAGCCAGGGAAACTGATAGAACAGGATTTCAATGTCAGCAATCAAAGGAACAGAAGGAAAAGCAGCCACAGGCTATAAAAGTAATGAAAGTGGGTTTAAAATTTTTCTCTGCAGCACTGCCAGTTCCTCAAGGAGCACGAAGCAGTTGATTGACTCTGGGAATCCTTGGCCAGGCCTCCATGCACAGCTGATCGCTGCAGAAAAGCTGCTGGGGCACTCGTGGTCACTGGCAGGGGCAGGGGCCAGCTCTGGCTCCCCCAGGAATTCCGTGCTCATGAAGGGTGTGGTGAGACAGGCCTGAGGAGGGAAAACCCCATTTGCCAGAGCAGATCCAATATTGGCCACGGGCAGTGACCTCACAGCCGCTCCTCCCACTGATGCCCACAAAGTCCTTGGCCTCACCTGGACCTGCCAAGCCAAGTCCAAAGGGGGGGAGGAGTCCTACAGTGGGCACCAAGCAGGCTGGAGGACATTCCTATCAACGCTGACCACAATAATAACCATTTTCAGTCACTGTTGCTCAAAAATGGACTTGGGAGCTGCTAACTTGCAGTGGGGAGTTGCACTCCTTCCACTCCTGTCTGTCTCCAGATGGAAATGGGATCCTGATCCAAACAGCACAGTCGGGATGATTTATTGGACAGCAGAAAAACTCTGCATTAATCACACGGGGTGGTGCTGAGTTGTCCTTTTGTGCCTCCTCCTTTAGGATTGCTGTAACTCCATGGGCAGCCAGAACTCACAGGAAGAAGAGCTGGCAAGTGAAGGTTGCTGGAAATCTCCCCTGCCCCAGCCAGTCCTGAGAGCTCTTTACAAAATCTTTTCTTTAAATCTCCACTGAACAGATTTACAACCTCCTGAGACTCCAGCTACTCTCCAGCTACTCTCCAGCTACTTGCAGGGCGAAAGTTTTGTCTGGTTTGTTTGTTTTTTTCCCCTGATATCTAAAGTAATCTCCCTAATTGCACTTCAGCAAATTTCTTTTTGTCCCATCATTTGTGGTCAGGGGACAAGTGTTTACTGTCATCTTTGCAAATGTGTTTATACATTTGAAGACAGTTGCTGAGTCCTTACATTGTGTTTTCTTTTGCAGCTCAAATAATGAATCCCAGCCTTGCACAGCTTACATTTCCAAGCCTCTCTCAGTCGTGGCTGCTGTTCTCCCTGCTCTGCCTGCATCAGGGTGAGTGCAGTGCCTGGGAGCGGACAGAGAGCTCCAGCCCAGCCTGGCCAGCCTGAGGGAACAGAAATAACAGAATTAACGCCTCTGATGTCTCGGCTGCTCCTCCTGCTCCTGGCAGCAGCAGCACTGCAGCTCTGCCCGGGCTGGAGACCACAGCCAGAGTCTGCTCTGCAGCGAGTGGCCCTCACAGCGCTCCTCTGCCGGGCACTATTCCTCCTGTGTGGCACAGCACATCGTTTTGCCTCCTGCAGATTCACCCTGTTGAGTTCAGACAGGCTCTGCAGCACCTCGGGGACGTTTGAAAGCTCAGCCTGGCACCCCGAGCTGGAATCACTGCCCATGTTCTAGAAATGCCCTCCATTCTGTCACCCAAGTTATCACAGAGCACTGCCCAGGACTGGTCCCAGATTACTCCCTGGGAGACCCTGCTTAAGGTGTCCTTCCCCTTGGACAGCCGAGACTTTGCAAATACAGGATTTTGTTAGCAAGCTACTACAGACTGTTGTACAAGAGCCAAAACTCCCGGACCTGTCACTGCGGCCAGTGAAACCAGTCACCTCCCTGCTACAGACAAAGGCTCAGAGCCTGCTCAGAAACCTCTCCAAAGTCAAACAAAGATCCTGTGCACTATCAGGGAAAAGCAGCCCAGGCTGACAGCCCCAGTCGCTGACAGCCCTCTACACAACTGCTGTTCAACAGCTCCGGCTGAGGAATATCAGCACGACTATTCCTGTGTGCCCACACAATCCTGAGCCACAGTCCGATTTAGTTTAGGGGGAGAAAAGAGGTGTTTTGCTAAAATTACCATAGTATAGATTTTTCATTTGTATTACCATAGCAACAAAGGACTTGGCTTGAAACGAGACCCCGCAGTGAAGGGGTGAAGGGCACAGTGCCCCCCGGAGCAGACAGCCCTTGTCCCTTTGAGGTGGCTGTCCCCATCCCGCACGGAGGTGCGGGACATTGCCTGCGGGAAATCCCTCCGAGAGCAGTGCCTCGGCAGGGAAGGGAAACCCGAGGCCAGAGGTGCTGCGATCTCTGCACCCACGGGGGCACGGCAGCACTCGGGATGGGAGCGCTCACTCGAGAGCCAGAGCTGCTGCTGGCCCCTTAACCCTGGCACCGAGATTAACCTCGCTGCTCTCAAGTGGAGATTACATCCACACAGAGGAACTTCCACCCAGATGTCAAACAAATGCCATTCTGAAGTAGAGCTAGGCAATATTCTCCAAGTCCGTGGCAATGACCCGGTGTGCCGATCGCTGCCGGGCGCTGCAAGGGTGCCCCGGGAGCCAGGAGCGGGCTTGGCTCTCCTGGAGCCTCCGCGCAGGTCGGGGACAGAGCTGGGATGGGATTTGTGCTGGCATGGACACTTGTCATCCCGCTTCTCCCGGCGGCAAGCGCCCGGTCAGACGGCAGGGGCAGAGCAGCGGGCTGCGGGGTGCCGGGGCAGGGCTGCGGGGTGCCAGCGGTGCCAGCTGTGCGCGGGGCAGGGCTGTGGGATGCCGGGACAGGGCTGCGGGGTGCCAGCGGTGCCAGCTGTGCGCGGGGCAGGGCTGCGGGGTGCCGGGGCAGCCCGGGGTGCCAGCTGTGCCAGCTGTGCGCGGGGCAGGGCTGCGGGCGGCCCCGGGCCGGGCTGCGCTCCTCCTCGGCTGCGGGAGCTCCTCCTCCTGCTCCTGCCGCCGCTCCCGCTCCCGCTGCCGCGGCTCGTCCGGCGCGGGCGCTGCTCCGGTGCGGTGCCGGTGCCGCACCATGCGCGGGGCCGGGGCTCGGCCGGAGCGCTCCCGTCCCGCCCCCGCCCGCGGCCCCGGCGCTCGGTGCGGCGGAGGCGCGGCTCGGTAGCGCCCGGTGCCCTCCCCGCCGCGGGGCTCCGCGCTCGCCGCCGCCGCGGGCAACTCGCAGGCAAGTTCGGGCAACTCGCCCGGCCCCGGGGCGGCCACTCCGGGGCTGCCGGAGCCGCCGGAGCGGAGCGGGCAGCGGGCGGGACCCCGGCTGCAGCAACAGGTCGTGTCCCCGGCAGGGATGGGAGGCAGGCGGCGGCCGGCACTGCCCGCCGGAGCCGGGCCGGCCGCGCCGCTCCCCGGCCCCGCTCGGCCGCTGCCCGGCCCCGCTCGGCTCCCGGCCCGGCCCCGCCGCGGAGGAGGCTGACGGCGCTCCGGGATCGCTCCGGGATCGCTCCGGGATCGCTCCGGGATCGCTCCGGGCTGCTCCGGGCTGCTCCGGGATCGCTCCGGGCTGCTCCGGGCTGATCCGTGCTGCTCCGGCTTCCCCCGGCCGCGCCCGCGTCCCGGGCCGCACAGCGCAGGATGGAGACTCGCCTTTCCAATTTCTTCCGCCTTGCCTGATCCCAAGGTCCTTTATAGCTGTTATTTCTAAATAATTAAGGGATGGGGTTTATGTTGGTGGATTTACTGAGTTCTGCTCGTTGCTGACTGACAGACACATCAAGTGAACTGTTCTTGACAGGCGATGTCTTGCCGGTAGATTTCTTTTCATTGGAAAAGACTTGGGGAGGGGTTGAGGACAGGACGAGCATGAAAGAACTCTTCCATGACTACGTATCGTTATTTCGGTAGCAAAATATTTATCAATACAAGTTAATGTCAAATCTTTTACTTTTTCAAATTATGTTTTATTGCTATGAATGTGACTTGCTAAAATTTGTTGACATAAATATGTTTCACAGCAGGAGAGTAACTGCAGTTATTAATCCTAATGTGTTTCAAAACATTTTCCTGGGGGTATAAATTATTTGCAAAGTTATTTCACTTCTGATTATTATCAATAGAATAAGGCTCAGCTTTATAAAACCAAACAGCGAGTAACATATTTGACATAATTCTCTTTGTAGGTTGTCATAAGATGCCACAATTGTCCAGCTCAGGGAGAGCAAGACAGAGCATATTTTTTTCATCCTATCTACTTTTCAGGAGAGTTTTACTTCATATTATCTGTTGACCTTTCTAAGTTTTACTTTGATTTGCCTGGAAGTGCAGTTTTGCAAGCAGAGCTGAAGTTTGAGATGTGTTCTTAGGCTGTAAAGAGCTGCAGGAGTGCAGCTTGAAGTGTGGCAGCAGGTACCTGGCAGGGAGGTACAGCACAGAAATCCTGTGCCAGGAGAGAGCTGAGTGTGGCACTGCTTGGAAATGCTGCCTGCTTGACTAAGGAAAAACTAAAGGAGGAGGGATCATTACATTGTTCCTGATGGAATTCTTTCCAAAAATTCACTGTATTCATATTCAACCTGCACTGAAATCTGAAACTTTTTTTAATGGCTTTTTATACTTAATTTACAAATGGTAAAAAGCAACAGAGATGAATTGCAGGCACTGGAATTGATAGAAGAGACTAGGGGGGAGTTCTGCATTTTCTTTGCAGGCTTGTTATCATCCAGGCACAACTTTGAATTGTCTGTGCCGCGGAGCAGGAGCAGGACTCCTTGCAGGAGCTCTGATTACATCAGAGATGCACTGCAGAATTCAAAATACTGCAGCGGACACTGTGGGGGGGACAACACTTGCAGTGGAATTTTATCATGTTTCTCATGAGTTCTATTTCCTTCCCTCAGAAGGGCATCTTTAATAATTCTTTTCCCATTGCCTCGGAGTCTGGCATCCTTCCTGCATTTTGGCTGCAAGGAAGGGCAGGACGGATTTCTAATTTGATTTCTTCACCAGAAAAAATTGATATCATCTTGTGCGGGACAGGCTTTTGACAATATGTCCTCTCATACTTGCCGTGCACAATCCACCCCTTGGAGTCACCCGGAGCCCTCGCCCTAGGCCAGTTATTCCCTGTTGCTGCAGGTTCTAAAAGCCAGAGCGATTCCCAGGGTGGATCATGCAGGGAGAGGCAGTCCAGCCCCAGTAAGTTTACAGCAGGTGAGAGTAAGGATGCTCAGAGAAGGGATTTGGATTTGCCCAGGAGGAGAGCACGCTGCCAGCTGGGCAGCCAGAGGCTGGGCTGGGCTTCAGTGAGCCCCAGGCACTCCGAGGGCAGGATGCTGCTCAGACCTTGGCCAGGAGGGCTTTTGCCATTGGGCCCGACTTAGCCAGAGCAGGGCAGAGGGTTTTTCTGTTCCAGCAGAGCCTTAAAGCTCACCTTGGGAAGGTTGGGGCTCTAGGCTGATGTGTTTGTCTGACCTTACATCGCTGTGTGTTGGCTTTACTCCTGAAGGCATTTCTCACCAGCTGTCCCCAGTGCCATCAGGCTGCAGTGGAGGAAGAAAGCAGCTTGTTTGGGCTTCAAGCTCAGCAGCAAGGAGTCCTTCCATTAATGAGGTCTCTCTCATCCTAAAGCAATACTGACCATCATTCTGTCCAGGCACCCTCAGAAGGAAAAGAAGAAACACACAGAGAAATGCATTGGTTTATTTTGTCTCCTTTCTCCCTTCCTTCAAGTCAGGCCACGTTTATTATTGTCCTTATTCTCCTCCTACTCTTCCCCTGTAGATATGATGCTGCGTGTATCTGAGGCAAGGAACATGAAAATAACCCATGTGGAGCATCAGATCCTACGTGGGATTTGTAGGCTTGGCAGCTCTGGTTATGGCAAAGCAAGGAGCAACCTTTTCTAAGTGCAGCCACTCAGCGTGGCACACGGGGGATTCATTTGTCCAATTTGTTGTCTCACACAGGTCCAGGAGCTGGCAGCAAAGAAAGAAATCCCTTTTTCTTTGCTCTGCTCTTTCACAGTTGCTGCCTCAGGGTTACAGCGTGTGTCTGACACACGCAGAACATTTACATTTCCCTCTCTCCATTTCTTCCCATTGTGTCAACTGTGGATGCGCTGGGGGATCAAACCAGTGACAGAATGAGCTGCCTCCTCATTTTTCCTGGCTGAGATTCAGAGGATAAGTTGTTGCTAACCAACATCATCTGGTATTACAGAAGGGAAAATGGTTAACAGCTCCCACTTACCCATATCTTATATCAGTCATAATCCTCGTTCTGTTTGGACCAGCCCTGCATTAGACGTGGCTGAGGCAGAAGGGAAAAGGCATTTTTAAATAAAACAGCAGTTGGTCTGGGAGATGAAGCCCTACATAAACATCCATCAGGTTCCATATCAAACCATAGCTTGCACCTCAGGCATTTCTTCTACTGATCCATGGCGGGGGGTGGGACAAGATGAGCTTTAAGGTTCCTTCCAACCCAAACCACTCTGTGATTCTGGATGAGCGAGGGGTCAGGAAATAACTGTCCATCCAAAGCTGACCTGTTTGTAAGTGTGCAGAGAGCTGCTCCGTTCAGCCCAAACCCCCTGGGAAGCTCAGGGACAGGACTGAGAGAATTTTTCATTGAAGCATTGTAAGCACCCTTGCAGCAAGGAGAGCTCTTAAACTGATAGGCAGCTGTGCTTTGAGCCTTTGCTGTTGTGTAACCATGGGTTTTCCTTCTTTAATAGGTATGTACCACTCCTGGTGTGGTTTATAAACCCAGCTTCTGAAAAGGAGGGTTCTGTGGCTCAGCAAGTGGCCCTAGCAGGGGGTGTATCCCTGGGGTGCACATCCAAGGGGAGGTAAGTGCAGCCAGGACGAGAACAAAACTCTCCTGAAGCCAATCAACTGGAATATTTATTCATTTCCTGTGAACCCGAGGCTAGAAAGCCAAAATAGTGGTGCATATTTAATGTCTTTATATTGTACAATCTCCTTAATAAATAAATACTCTTACCCAGTGAAACTCAGGGACTCCATGCACTAAGCTGAGGATGAGTGTGCAGATAAAAGTCTTGGAGCGGTGCTGCACAGCCTCCTGTGGAGGAGCAGATTCCAGGTGACTCTTAAAGTGCAGTGACTTAGGGAGGGCAGAAGTTTGAACATTTCCAGCTCCTGAGTTTGATACCCAGCTGACCTCTGTTCTCTTCACTCCCTGGACTTTACGCCAGTGTTGCATGAGCTGAATTTGAACAGGATTTTCCAAGTTGTCCTTAGAAATGTTTGGGTTCTTACAGTCAGAGGTAAAGGCAGCTTGGCTCAGCACACTGCAAGGACAAAGCCCTATTCCTGCATGTAGGGTGTCAGTGAGAACTGAAACAACATTCCAAGGTTTGTATGGAAATCCTGTCTTTCTTTGCAACCTTTTGTAAATGAGGCCATAAAAAGGGAGTTGCCATGTCATTAATTGTGTGTAAACTCTATACAAATGTTTGTGTGATCACCAATACAAGTGAGCTTTTTCCCCCCAGGTTGTTTCCAGTTGGCCTTTTAAAAATTAGTCTTGTACTAACTGGTTTTTAGAAGTGTGTATTTACTGAATTGCAACATAATTGACTTCTGATTCTTTCTATATATTTCATGGGTGCTAAAATACTCAGAAGTTTTATGAGTAGTACTTAAAAAAATTATACTATTTCATTTTCTACAAAACACACTTGAGTTCTGTGTCCTAATGTGCTACTGTCATCGTTTTTATACCTCCACTCTGAACCAGAAACATCCTGCCATGTGGAGGAATTATTCCT